CTCTCCATCAAATTTGGGAGCGAAACTGAGCTAAATCGCACTGTCACCTGATTGGTGCTCAAGGCTGTTGCCAACGGCAGGCGTAATCTAGCGCTCCTTGCCACGAGGAATTTTGTGAGCTCGAGCTGAATATGTCAGACAAGTGAGCATAAACAACAACAACAACGAAAACTATGAACCCTTGTAAGATAACATTGATTTAGCTACTAAAAGATTAAATAATACAGCCAAACGACTAAAATCGGAAAACCTATGTAAAGCTGATGAGGAAATATTAAATGAGAGGTGACAAGAAGGAATAAGAGAGGCTATCTTGTGTAAGGAAATAAAGTACCGTGATAATTATTTACCTCATAAGAGATTTGTAAAAGAAAACGCTACCGCAAATAGTAGACCTGTTTTGAATGCTTCATAGAAGCAAAAAGGCCCACCTAGTCTTAATGATTAAATAAAAGGAACTGTGTGTGTGTGTGTGAGTATGGCAAAGCCTCGAGGGCTATCTGCCTAAGAGGAGGGATGCCTTCGTGGAGGACTTTCTAAGGGAAACTGGCTCGTATACACGTTACACATGGGGAAAACCACGAAAACGCCCATGCAGCCAGCCCGTTCGCGGGATTCGAACCTCGGACCGAACTACCAGTGTTTACCGACTTTACCGCTCGGCCGCTGGTGGGCAAATAAAAGGAACGAATCTCGTTAAATTAATTCCTTCAACTCTTAAAACATTTTGCATGAAGTAAATAAAAGTTAAGTCTGATATTCGTAAGACATTTTTACAAATAAGCAGCCATCCTAGAAATAGAGATTATTCACGATTTTTTTGGGTATAGATTTGATGGATGATTAAAGTACTTCTGATACGTAGAGTCATTTTTGGTGTTTCGTGCAGCTTAGTTTTACTTGGATCTGTGATTTATTATCATTTGGAATCCACTTTAAATAGAACGAGAGAAGGGATTATAAGTATTCTTAGAAAATAATAGAATAGCTGAAAAAATATATTTTATGTGGACAACTTGTTCAACAAGCGTCAGTAACGACGAAGAACTTCGCCAGTTTATACAAGTTGCTACAAATTCATTAGATGAGAGAAAATTTGAACTCCATGGGTGGGAATACAAGTACTCATCCTTTAGATCAAGGTATCTTTAGATACAAGTGGTCTTAAACTGGCGGCCCGCAGGTTTCACGGGACCCCCGAAGCAATTTTAACCAGAGACATTTCAGCCATTTATTTGTTCCAAATATGGTGTTGCAAATATTTCAAAATTTTAGTTATTTGAAGACTGAGTTTACATTTTCTTTATTTCCATTAAAACAAACATTTTTAACGAAGCAGAAAACTCTACAAATGGAGCTAATTAATTTATAATGTTATATAAATCTTATTCAAAGATTACAAGAAACAGATTTTATTAAATTTTACTCGTAATTGTCAAAAACTAAATAAACTCAGCTACGAATTTTGCACGAAGAATAATCGTTTTGTTTGGGAATACATTTATATATGAACAGATTTTTCCACAGTCGAAAATTACTTAGAAATGAACCCGATTAACCGATGATCATCTACAATCCGTGATAAAGATAATTTCTAATAAATTCTCTCCAAGGATATAAACTTTATCAAAATTCAAACGTTATCAAGCGTCAAGCTATAGTAAGAAATAAAGACGTGTGTAACTATTTATATAGAAACATATGCATTTTTCTTTACGCGTCGAAGAATAATTTAATAAATTATACTTTCCTACTTTATTTATTTTAGCTTAAATTAAAAAATACTTAATGATTAATAAACATATTAGAATTATTAGAAAAATTTCAATCTAAGAATTTAATAATTAGCTATCAGTATATTTGAATTACAAAGCGCACGCAATAAAAATCTCTTACACGTAACAAACTTTAGATTTCAGATAGAAAATAAATAGAAATTAAAATGTTTTTCCTTTGCGATATTATTACTATTGCTTATGTATGTTTTTATAAATATTTAGTAAAGTGAAACTTAAAATTTACTTCAAAAATGTTTTTTTTCTTCTCAAAATTTTTCTCTTCGTTAAAACAAAAATCTGGTCCGTCAGCTGTTTTCAGATTTTGCATTTGTCCCACATACAATTTGGCTCTAAGAGAACTGCCTTAGATGAGAGCCCTAACACAACCAATCTGCTAGGAATGTTTTGGAAACGTGAAAGCGACATGATTTGCCTAAATATTTCCACATTATTGAAGATTTGCTTGAAAAGATAACTAACAGAACAATTTTAGCGTCTATACATAAGATATTTGATACATTAGGAATATCTTCTCTTGTTACCTTACTCCCTAAGCTTTCAACGCAGCGCCTGTGGAAAGGAAAACTATTTTGGGATCAAGCAGTTCATGCAGAAACCGAGTCCGAATTCTGTAACTGGTTAAATGTAGCATAAACCACTAGCAGAAGTTGAAAATATCGATATGGATATCCATAGACATTTAAGTAGTGTCTATTTCCCTACATTTCTTCAGTGATGCAAGTAAACGTGCATATTCGGCTGGAGCCTTTGTTAAGCTAAAGTAATCATTGTGGAAAGTGGCAGACTTCAAAAATACGATATTTGGAGCTACAATTTAGCGCGTCCTGTAGCAAATATTTTGAAAGAACTCATATCTTATTAAGTTTATTGCTAGAATAATTCATCTGAGCACTAGCATGGATTCATTTCATCTTCTTACGGGATATATTTGTTCATAACAGAATACAGAAAATTAGACAGTTAACTCTTTAAAGAATTAAAGAGACATATCCCAGGAATATTAAACCCAGCGATTTGTCCAGCAGAGTCTGATTTGCTCATATTTAAACTAAACTAAACTCAGTGGCGTAACAGCCCTAGTGGGCCAATGCCTGCAGTGCCCCGAACTCTGCTTTCTTGACCGTGGGCGTAAGCATATGCCCTGAACAAGTGGTCACCTGGTCGCAGGACTCCCAGTGTTTAGTCCCCAAGCGAACTTGGTACTCATTTTATCGACCCAAGTGATGGAAATCAAGGGATGAAAGGCTGAGTCGACCTTGCCCAGCCCGAGAATCGAACCCCGGACCTGTGGTGCTGCTGCGCGATGCGCTAGCCACTGCGCCACCGGGCCTCAATTAATTCACAAGTGTGATATAAATCTATTTCAAGGATTCGGAGATATATATTTGATTGAGTTTTATTCGTACTTGCACTTGAAAACGATTAAATCTGAAAAAAGGACTCTTTTGGCCGATATGCATCCACAATCCATGAAGATAGTTTGTAATAATTTATCTCTAAGGCTACGAAACTTATCAGAATCAAAATGCCATCAAATGTCAAGCAGTACTAGTAAGAAATAGAGAAGTTTATTATCGTTTATACACATTTGTTTACGTAAGTATTTGTTCCTGCATGTGTGGGAGAAGAATTTAATAAATAAAAGAAAGAGGGTTGTCAATAGTTAGTATCACATTTAGTCCAACATTGAAAGTTTTCTCTATACATAGATATTTTGTAGAGTCATTAGGTTATTTTTAAAGCAGGGGTGATATTTAGTTGCTCGATATTTAGTGGAATGAAAACGGTGAGAAAGAGCCCCACTAGATTTATTTATCATCAGAAGAGTGGCCAAGGAATAATTTCACAAGCGAAGAAGAACAAGTTGCCAAAGCAAAGAAAAGGAAGATAGTTTCATCTATGAATTAATGTCAACTCTTACATCTCCTAAATAACCGTTTTCCAAGCTATAGAAAAACTATTAAAATGATGGTTCATATTTATCGATTTATGAATAATTGCAGAAACAAGAGACGAGAGATGAGCTCACTACCATTGAATGAAATGATATGAAAATGATCCATTTTATACAAGTCATTATTTTTACCGGATAAAAGGATAGAATCTCTAGAGTCTCTATACCATTTTGTGGAAGATAGTTTAATACGTTCCAAAACTGCGATATTTCAAAAAGAGATGAAGCATATGAATTTAGAACTCCAAACATTTTACGAAGCAACCACCCTATTGTCACAGTTTTCATAATGGAAGAACGTAAGAAAAAAGAACTCGTTGATGTTTCTCAAGACTTGAATTCTTTAAGGAAAAAATTTAGGATTTTGTATAGACGAAGATCATTTTTGTTCGTTATACAGATTTGCATTGTTTGTAAACGCTATTCAATTAAAAATGTGAATTCTCCAATTTCACCTTTGCTAGCAGATCGAATAAAAGATGCGGCTACTTTCCAAATTACATCCTTTGCATGTCCTTTACGTTTTAGAAACAGAAAGAAAGCTTTTTTACGTGCGCAGTGTAACGGTGGGTTCACCAACAACTGTAACTTCATTATCCATCGAAGTTCTAAATTAAATGACAACCGTCAAAGCCTGAAAAGAAAGATTTTCCTATCCGAAAAAATTAAAAATTGTTGAAAGTTAGTAGATCCAGAAGGACAGTTGGAATTCCAGATCACCTGAACTTATGAACTTTATTTTCCTATACTATTATATTTTAAATTTTGTATTTTTAGCGCTTTAGATTCTGTCATTTTACTGGTATTTCTTTCCATCTATGCAAGCAGCTTAAGTGACAGGGCTTTTTTTTTAACTTTTCATCATTATATTTTTGCAAAGTTCAATTTAGTTTTCCCATTCCAAGGTAACAACAGGATGATAAATATTAATGTACCATGAGAGCACTTGTATCTATTTATGCACAGTTTTTATGTTAAGATTTATCATGGCAAAAGTGATGCATGCTCGAAAGAGTTTTGGGGGTATACTTTAGAATTAAAAGTATATTAAATAAAGATGACTTCTTTTTTCTTATGAATTTGAATCTTTTCTCAGAGTTTTATTATTTTTAAATCCTCGTTAGAGTTTATCTTGATGTCAGCTGGTTTGATTAAAGAAGAGTCCCTTTTGAAACAGTATGAATAAATGAAGCAAGTATAATCACCGGATAACGGTAAATCACTGTAAACAATTAAAATTAACTTACAGGTTCTCCTTTGGGACCATCGATACCAATAGCACCCTGAAAAAGAAAAAAATAAAATAAGAAACTGAATTTCAAATTTCTAATACATTCATGTACCTAAATACATACACGGACATATTTATTGATCTCAGTTTTATAATGGGCTCTTCGAATTTGGTTTCATAGTCACTTCGGTTGCTGGGAAAATTTAATTTCAATTTAATGCTTTTAATTTCTTTATTTTAATAAATTTATTTTTTTAGTTCTTTAATTTTAATTAACTTAATTTCTAGTTCCTTTTTTTAATCATTTTAATTATTTTAAATTCGATTTTTTATTTTTATTTGTTGCTTTGTTCACCCACTCATTTTATCGCTATTTTATATTTTTATTTATTACTAGTCTTATTATTCTATTATTCCGTTCAAAATATTACGACTACTTCTACCACAGTTTAAACTACTTCAATAACTCCTACCCCATTATTATAACTGATTTTATGTCAACAAGGAAGTATGACTGACGTTAAATTTAAGATGCTTACGAGGTAAAAATTTGTTATGTTTTGCTATGATTTTTAGCATTAATATTTATGCTATGAATAATTTAAACAGATCAGTTTTTATTTTTCGATCTGGTGGGTAGGGCTAATTGATGCAGAATTTCTTTGATTTAAATATGTTCAAAACGTTTGTAGCTTTAATACAAACTGTAAATTGTTTTGTTTGTTACTGGATTATTGGTTTGCACTTGTTGGCTAAAAAAAAGGCTAATTTTCTTTTGCATTTCTCGAACCCTCAGTCTCCTGAAAAGGATGGATGTCCTGGTAGATGTAAAATCTCTTTGCTTTTATTTTTATTCGAACTAAGAATTAAGATTTTTTAATTCATGTCTACTCCGCCGAAACGAACATAATTGAATTTACTTCAGTGTTGGTTGTATCATATACGTGCATCTACATGTATGTTATAAGCCTATATGTATTATATTGTTGTGTACGTACGGGTTCGTAATGGAGTGAATGCACACAGAACAAATGATAGCTGGATAAAATTTATTTTACTAAACGAAACAATTTAAAGTTCTGGAACCTTCCCTTAACTATTAAAAAATTAAAACATAACGCAATGTAAAGCCCAATCTCATGGAGATCTCTCAATACTCCGAAGTCAACGATCAACTAAACAATTGAAAAACTGATGCTCTCTCTGGGCTTATATAGTTTTCCCTTGGCCACCTAGAAATCTCTATCTCGCAATGACTTGAAGGCATATACGGTTAAAGTTACATATAGAGATAAATTACAGTTATTCAGTTACAGTACAGTTACAGATATGTAGGGACCAGACCAAAATGTCGTCAAATAGTTGCCAAGCTTGGCGACTTCTCTCCAAATTCGGCGACAAAAATTAGTCATTAAAATTACTGCCAGCTTGCCGATATGCCGCCAGTTTAGCGGAATAGCCATTCACCTCAATATTGGACTTGCCCCTGTAATCTTATTTTTTTGGCAGAGCTTCGCCTTGACAAATATTTCAAGTTACAGAATACAAAAGCTACCACAATTTCACATATAATTTCACGAAAATTATTTACATGTATACAAAATTCGTAATAATGATATATGAGCGTATTCGTAGATGACAAATATGAGCGTATTCGTTGATGACAGTTCAATGCAAACTTAGGTAATTCTCAGTAAACTTAATAGACTAGACTCAAAGAATCAAGCAACAATCAAAACTGATCAAAACAAATCAAAACTGATGTTTGATCGAAACTGAACTTTCTCATAGAAGGTAGTAGCAGAGTAGGAGGGATTAACGAATTAATTTTTTTTCAGACTTAAATATCGACTACATCTTAGCTTTCTGGAGCTTTAATTGTTGCATATTCGTCTTCAAATATTTTTGACTAATCAAAAAGTTAATATCATATACCCGGTTTTGCCAGACCGAACAACAGGCATAAAAGAAAATGTCCATTGAAAGCACATTGCGTTACAATGTAATCAAAGATTATATCCACAGACGAAAGACAAACGTTTCTGAACGTTATTTCCGATGTTTTAACATAAAGCAATTAAATAAATTTTTAAACAGAGAAAGATGAACACTTGTTTAGGAATGCACACATATGCATTTTGTTTATTTACCTAAATGCTACAACTTACCGGAAATCCAGGCTTTCCAGGAGGACCTATAGGACCCTGTAGAGGAAAAATAATCATATTTATAATGTAACACAATTAGTAATATATGGGAAAATTAATACGTATTGTAAATAATACAAATAAATCCATCTGATTATCACTCTCTCTATACAGTGTAATTATTTAATAAAAAATAATGCTTATAATTTTCATATTAGAATTTCCTATTATAAATAAATATTTAAAGGAAAAATAAAATTTATTATAAATTAGTCAAACACAATTTAATCTGATATAATTAAAAATGCTTCATGTCGGACATAACTCTCAGCGTTTTACTTTTCTTATAATTTCAAAACATTCTGCACTTTTCTCATAAATTAAAGTAGTTTAACATAAGAAAGTGTATGAAATTTTTAATACCTTAAAATGCCTTTGTATATAAATTAAAAACTTATTTGGATCATTTTACTAAACAAAAATTTAGTGTTTACATATACGTATAAAAACAATTAACAAGATGAGAATTTTAAGACTCTTCATACGTAAAGGAGATTTATTCCACTAATATTCTGAACAGTAATGATCGGACATTAAACAGATTATTAATAAGTTTCTTCCTCGCATGTGCCCACCAGCGGCCGAGCGGTAAAGTCGCTGAACACTGGTAGTTCGGTCCGAGGTTCGAATCCCGCGAACGGGCGGGCTGCATGGGTGTTTTCGTGGTTTTCCCCATGTGTAACGTGTATACGAGCCAGTTTCCCTTAGAAAGTCCTCCACGAAAGGCATCCCTTCCCTTAGGCAGATAGCCCTAGTGTGCTTTGCCGTAATTAAATACACCACATCTTCTTCGCATGTTAAGGTAAAAGGAACAATTATTTTTCAGCGGTAAATAGAGTCTTCTGTGGTTTCGGCCTAGTTCTCTTTACACCAAACAAGCTGTCTTTCGTTTATACCTTTCGAAATTTAGTTATATATTTACTTATATTTCAAACGATAACTCATATTTTAAATTAATTTTTCTAAAAATAATTCTATAAATCTCACAATATTTCATAATTGTAGCAATTAAAGTATCAAAATAGCATTTTCCTTAATTTAAAAATTTTATCATTAGAAATCGAATAAATCAGGAATTTTAAATATTTTCGTATTATTTTTTAATTTCGACTATAACTGTTAAAATATTTTTCACATACAAGTAATTTTAATTTTGTTTTCATTACAGCGAAAATAACGTGGAAGAAGACGTTGCGGAGAAAATAACGCAAGGCGAAAACAAAATCGTAAAAAATATCCTCGGAGAAAAGAAAACAAGGAGAAAACACCGCATGTCTAAAACATCGTGGTATAACATCTCAGACAAGAGTTTTTCAGGCTTTAAAAGTCGTTGACGCATATTCGGAGAATGATATGTGAATGCAAGAAGAAGGGAGAAATATTTTTACTTTTATATTTTATGTTTTTATATTAACTTATAAAATTTTGCCGAAAATGTATGAAGAAAATTTAAGCATTTAAAAGCTAAAAATTAGTAGAAAACGAATGCTACTTTCAGCAGTTAATGGAATTTTAAACTTACATAGTTAAGTAATAAAGGTCATTAATTCATTAATTTCTTTCATAAAGTAATTTTATACTGTAATTTTGCACTGGTAATTTTTCAAGAAAAATATAGTCTAAAAAAGATTAGGAACGGGAAGGCAAATTGCATGAGATTACCTCTATTAAAATTGTTTAATTAATTACCAAAATGTAAATTACTTTTATTTCCCCTATGTTAATCTGATATTCTTTTATGAAAATTAAATCGTGTTTTGTTTCAGTTTATTCGTCTTCTTGAAATATCATTAACATTTTCATGTTCAGCTTGCAGTTAATCGTTCGGATGTCGATGTCATTTTGTCAGTTATGACGAAGCATATCATTTATGTAACATTTCAGTAGGGATTTAAATTCTATTTACCGCTACAAAGTAGCTTTAATTTTCTGCTCCTTTTCAGTTTTTGAATACTTAAGTTTCCTTCTTGCTTTTTTAGCAAGCATTTGTTAGTTCATTCAGAATATGAAATATAAAAGTAAAACTATTTCTCATTCCTTTTTGAGCTCACGAATCATTATGCGAATATACATTTTGAAAAACACATATCTGCAATGATATTGTCATGCGATGATTTGTTAGGTGCTTTATTTTTTACCATGATATTTCTGACGACGATGATTTGAACCTTTTTATTTTTATGACAATGTTTTGTACCATGATGCATCAGAATTGGATGTTTCCTACTTTCTTTTTTTTCTCCCACGATGCTTTGTATGAAGACGTTTCCGCCTTGCGGTGTTTTCGTCCGCGATGCTTTTGCTGCGATGTTTTCAGCAGCCACCTCAAAATCGGAAGTTATTGAAAATCTACGTCAAACTAAGTTTTTTTCCGCTTAATTTAAAATGGTTCACTAAAATCACAACCAACATTTTTGGCGACATAATTAGTCCCTTGCTTGGCGACATTTCTGGGTACTTTGCAGTTTCTATGATGCATTCTAAACTTATTTGGCGACCTTAAAAAATTATTCTGTAATATTTTTTACATGTCAAATGAATAGTTGATCGAAAAAGCGATGCAATTTCTATGTTTTCGTGTACACAAAGGAGGGACTTCGACCATTCGATAACAATATTCGAATGATAACATTAACCGCAATCACAATGAGCGGCGTCTACTGTCATATAATGTAATAAATGCATTCCGTTTAAATATTTTCGCGTAACAACGCATACAAAAGTGCTTTGCTCATTACAGTTAAGCATTTAAATCAGTTAACTTGGACTTCTTAATTTGTTTTGCAACTGAAGTTATTGCTGATATTATACTCTAAATATCAAAAATGAAAAATATTTCCTTATCATTCTCCTTTAATTTTCACTAAATCCGATGGCCAGACTTGCTCGTTGAGCTTTCGACGCGAGTGCCCAAACGATCAATCATTCAGCGTCTTACCAATATCGTTATCTATGGTGTAACGCAAATGGCAACCAATATTACACCCGCAGGCAAAGAGATATATAATATATATAATTGCCAAAATATGGCAACCTGCTTTGCATCTTATCAAACTGAATTGCAGCATCTTATAATTTGTCTCTTGCCAATTTCCTTACTCTGCATACACAATCGTCTGCACCCAGCACAGACTCTAATGGTTATTTTGTGATACCATACAAATTGCAAACAATTAATAATTATGTTCAGGCTATTAATGTACTTTTTTAATATACTGGTATTTTCTCATTTAGAACATTTTATATTCAAAAAATAAATGTTTGAAATTTTAAAACTCAAAGGCTTTTACAATTGAGTTATAATTTCGATCAAACGTTTAGTTTAATGTTGTTGTCACAGGTGTCTTTTGGTAGAAGCAATAATTTAACAATTATTTCAAATATGACAAAAACGCATTTTAATAAAATAACAGCAATTTTCCCAAAAAACTGATGGCAGGTTAAAAAGTGATTAACGGATGTCCACTTTATAGAAAAATAGAGCTTAAAAATTCCTCATATTTCTGTTTTCATTCCAAAAAATTAAAGATAAACCGTTCGTTTAAAACAGATTACGTAAAATCGTTTTAATAGTTAAACTCATGACTATAGCATAACTTTTAATAACTCTCTTTAATTAATTTTTAAAGGCTCGTAGCAATAAGTGGCATAGACAAAACAAGAATTTTCATTATGAAAGCCAGTGTAAATTATTTCATACGGTTGATAGACCAAAGCATCATAATTGTGAGCATTCATTACATTCATTCGAATAATTCAGTCTTCCAGGAAAAACTTACAGCCTTAAAAGAAGTTCCAGATATTCAGATCTCTTAAAGGAATGATAAAATACCAAGCTTGCAAGTTATCCTGGGCGACTACATCCCATATTCGAGACAATACAGAAATAACTAATTTCGATTCCTGCAAATCTGAGGCCCAAGTTTCTTTAGGTACCAGCATATTCTGGGATCAAAGGAAAAAGCAGTAGATGTGATTGCGAAGAGCACAACTAATAAACTAGGACCCTTCCTTCTTCCTTTTGAAAACCACTCTCGGGCGAGAACTAATGAAACAAAGACAAAACTATTTGGAATCGAGTAGCAAGGGCAAATTTTTATATAAAAGTCGACCAGAACTTGCGACTATTAACAATTCAGCCAGGTTCCTATACAATTCTTAAGCCTTACCTTCCCCAGAAGTTTGTCGCAATATTTACGGAACACCCTGTATATGTGTGTGCGTGTGTAAGTTATAAGCGAGGTCCTCGATCGGTGGAAGTGATTCTTAGAAAAGGGTCCTATTCCATGTGGCAAATAAAGTGACAATCGAAAATGATTTAGCGTGCCGCTTGGATGATAAAGTAGATGAAAAGTTTCATTTTTAAGTATGAACCCACCAGCGGTCAAGCGGTAAAGTCCCTGAACTCTGGTAGTTCGGTACGAGGTTCGAATCACGTTTGGGTGATTTTCGTGGTCCTCATGTGTAACGTATATACAAGCCAGTTTGGCTTAGAAAGTTTTCCACGAAGGCATCCCTCCCCTTAGGCAAATAATCCTCTGTAGCTTTGCAGTAAACAAATGCACACACATACACATATATTTTTAAGTCGTAGGTATTTTAATTTTATCGTAAGCTTTGAGAAAATGACGTCATTCCTTAACACTTTTTTAAATTATTTTTATTCGAATAATCTAATCATTTAAACTGCAATTAATTTTACTACATAATTTAAATTTTAAGAAAGTTTTTACTTAATGGATTTTGTGTAACTACACGAATTTATAAAAAAACAGACAGCAAGTTTCGAATCGCAGAATATCTTTACTGTCTTGCAGAGGTAAACATCTTACTGCCTTTAGTAGAAAAACGACCGTGAGGCGAGCAGACGTCATCCTAATTCAAATTGGAACTTACCCACCGTTTCACACCCATATTAGCAACCACTAGAGCGAAATTCTTTCAATGAGCATGTTTGTTTTTTGAAAGGTTATTGGCGCTAAATTTTTTCTTGCTGCAAAATATTCGTTCTAAGTCTTCATTTTAAATATATGTTTCTCCTTCTTTGCTGTTTCAATTGTAAGATTTTATTTTTCCCAAATGTATTTTTTGGACTTTTTAAATTATATGCGCATAATTTAGTTTCGCTAGTTTCTTTTTAACTTTTTGAAAGTAAACTTTATTTTTTTTTCTCTTTCTGCATTTATAAAAGTAAATGTTATTTTCATTTTACAAAAGTAAATTTCATTTTCATAGGTTCAAGTTTTCTTTTTACTTTTTTTTTATAAACATAAATTTTTATATTTAACCTTTTATTATATTTTCTTTATTCAAAAGAAAATTTTTATTTTTCCGCTTCTATTGTTGTTAAATACAGTTTTAATAAAGCGTTAGCATTTACATAACATGCTAATGTCGTAAAGTAAAGAAATCTGATTCCTGAATGAACACAGTTGTTTTTATGTTTATGAAATCTCTTTATTGATCCTTTTTCAGGAACAAAAAGACGGCTGATTATGATACATTATTAGCTGTGATAAAAACAAACAAGAAGGTAATTTTCAGATTCTTTCTATATTTTGATTTTTTAAGCACCTCCTGAAGAAACCATTTTTTTCCTTCATTGAGCCTTTGAAACGTATTATCAGAGTTGAAGAAGAAATTACTAAAATTTAAGAACACACACATTCAAAACGATTTCTTACAATGATGTATTTTTCATTCATATATAAAGCTTTCCACTTCAGCTATTAAGTCTAATATATATGCACTGAGCTTCATTAGATATTTGAAATTCAGAATACCTAATTTAAAAAACTGCTATATTTGTAACAAGAGTTTCATAAAACTCATTTTGCAGACCAAGAATTGCGAAAGGAAAGCACACTTGTTAAAAATAACCTCAAATATAATTTAAGCATCTCGTTCATTTGTAAAGAATGCTGTTTGCAATAAAGACGACATTCTATCAAAATTACATTTTTAATTATTTAGTTTTTCGGTTTATATATAAGCACTTTATTATATGATATGCTGAACAGCCAAAATATTATGACAGCCATCCCAATAACGCGTTGCGCGATCTGTGGCCTGCAAAACATTTGCAACTCGATATGGCATGGATGCCTCAAGCTCTTGGTAAGTGACTGGAGACAGGCTATACCAAATGTCTATACAGCGGTCACGCATATTCGAGATATTTCGACATGGTAGAGTTTGAGCTCTGAGTTGCTGCTCCATGACATTCCAAATGTTGTCTATCGGGTTAAGATCCGCGAGATAGATGGCCAGGACTATGCTCCTCGAACCACTCCAATACAGTTCGAACCTTGGGACATGGGATGTTGTCCTGCTGGAAGATTCCACTTCCAGTTGGGAAGACAGACGCCATGTAAAGGTGCAAATGATCCGCAGTTATGTTCAGAAAGTCCGCAGCTTTCATGGTCTGGTCAACTACAACTAAATGTCCCAGAGCTTCCCAAGAGCACGCAACCCAAAGTGCAAGCAGTTTTCAGAGCCAAAGGCTGGTAGTTTCACGCGCTTAATAGATTTATTTGTTTAAAGTTTGACAATAAAGAATGCAGCTGTAGAAAGAGTATTTTCAACAGTCAATTTAACCAAAACCAACGATAGAAGCTCCTAACTTGGAACTCCTAAATTCCATACTTTGGATGAAGATAGCATTGGAACATCGGATTTTTCCTTATTAAAATTTTCTATAATATATATATATATATATATATATATATATATATAATTTCAAAAATGAATACTATAATTACTGTAAAAAACCAATGTGTACTCGAGTTATTTGCCTTTTGTATAAAGGACAATTTAAAATTTTTCTTTGAGCTCGTGGAGAAAAGAGTGTGTGTCAAATTATTAATAGATAGGGGATTTTCATAAAAACAGTAGTAATGGATGTAAAAATACTGCAAAAGAATGTATAACAGAGTTATGCACCTTAATACTAATATTCATGATTTTATTATTTTATAAATATTGTTTTTAAGCGAATTCCCTCTCCCCAATTCTCAGTTGATAACGAAGCAATTTGTATCCTGAGTGCTATATACTGGGCACTTAAACAGAGAAAGAAATTAAATTAATTTTCCTGATTAATAATATTGCTCAGAAATAAGAAAAATCGAGATGACTTAAAAATCAAAACAAAATCTGTTTTCTAAATAACAACATAAAGAAATTTAACATTGAAAGAACGGGGATTTTATTAATAATCAGAATCTGAAATAGTTAAATAAGTCAACCAAGCAGAAGAGAAAATTCACTGGAAAGCATTAACAATAAAAATAAAACAAAAACTAATGAATTAGAAAAATGAACTGCTAACTCAAATAAATTAGTACAAAAGCGCAAACAATCCAAACACGAGGAAGCACTTAGCAATGAATATGAACAAATCAGTTTAAAAATAAAAAGCAAAATAAATTGAGAATTAATTAAAAGAAAAAAAAGAATGTTTAAATAATTGATAATTAGCAATATAGCTTTTTAATTTTCGTCAAAGCTAAAATACATGATTAAGATGACTAAGAAATCGATTTACAGTCCTTAACTTACAAAACCAATGGAGACTGAATTTTTAATAACATCAGATGTAATGGCAACATACGGAACTATAATGTCACAAAACTCACGTGATTTCTGACGTCATGTGCTACTTTTTGCGACTTTTAGCTTCTTTCTTGCTACTTAATGCCTTATTTTCAACTCCTGTTCTTTGAACTTTAAAATGAAAAGATTATTTGCGCTATGTTTAATTAGCGGCAATCTTATTCTTCTTCTTTCGCCAATTACTTTTACAATATTAAATTTCTGTAACTCTAACAAGTATTCGTGAAGAATAATATTTTTCTTAAGTCTACGCAGTTAAACTAAAAGTTAAAGGTGTAGTGCAATCATGAATGATTCATGAGTTTAGTTGTTTTATAATCACCAGCGCGTTTATTGATATAAATGGGGAAAGCGAAGTTTAGCTCTGTCCTTTCAGTGAAAGGTATCATTTGTAGCATATCTTGAGATTACTGGAAACTTTTAGCTAAAAAAGGTACCATTTTATGCGTGGAAAAGCATTATTGTTTCTAAGAAGTCTTTGTTCATACATTTACAATATTAACAATGTTGTAGTTACTTTTTTTAAAAAAATTATATATATATATAAAAAAAAAATTACCGTCGTTCCAGGATCACCTGGTTCTCCTTTCATACCTCTTTTCCCGCGACGACCTGTAAGAAAACAAAAAGGAAAATAGTTCTCAGAATAGTGATTAAAATTAATTACCATCACTTATAGTTATAGGTATAGGTAACGGGGGGCATGGGCACTGTCCCTTTACCATAATGGTTAACCGGTATTGCACCGTGCCCACCACTGTCTAGAGCCAATGTGTAGGAGCCACATTTGCGCCCAGCACCAAAAGCCGAGGCCCAACGCTCGGACCATCCAGAGGGCAGTCAAACTGACCAAAAGCGCCCTCCACACAACGCTCACCCAACCGTCCAGGCATTAGTACATATGATAGCAAATACTGAATTCTCTGACGATTATAATACAATGTGCAATTGTACATAATGACATTGCAATTATAAATATACTGCATAATACAGTCCAATAGTACAATATCAATGTAAAAAGTAAGATATAATTACAAATGCAAATATTTCGTGAACCATAAGTGCAAAATAATAGTAAGTTAAAAGACTACTGCTTCAAATATTAGTACATATGATAACAATACTGAAATTCTCTGACAATTATAATACAATGATCAGTTGGTACATAATGTGTGGTGTGTGGTGGTGTGGTGTATTTAATTATGGCAAAGCACACTAGGGCTATCTGCCTAAGAGGAGGGATGCCTTTCGTGGAGGACTTTCTAAGGGAAACTGGCTCGTATACACGTTACACATGGGGAAAACCACGAAAACACCCATGCAGCCAGCCCGTTCGCGGGATTCGAACCTCGGACCGAACTACCAGTGTTCAGCGACTTTACCGCTCGGCCGCTGGTGGGCTTGGTACATAATGAGATTGTAAATATAAATAGACTGTATAATACAATACAAGTCCAACAGTACAATATAATGCAAACACGAGTATGTAATTACAAATGTTAATATTTCATGAACCATCAGTGCAAAACAATACTAAGTTAAAGGACTATGCATATCAATGCAAAACATAAAGTGTTGAAGAGTAGTAGTAGACAATGTTTAGATATAGATATACTATACAAAAGAAAGTCATATTCTTTACAACAGATGGTATTGCGATTTAAATACCAACAGTATTAAAAATATAATTTATAATAATAAAACTCAAATAAAAATCCGAATATATGACCAATACAAAAGCAAAATGTTATTCTTAAAATATCTATGCAATGCATATTCAAATACAGTCAGTAGATATACACTTATATTTATATAAGTATGGCAATGTCATTCATTATAAACTACATAACAAAATTTAGTGGAAGCATATAAAAGGGAAATGTATGTTGTAACTAATGGCGTAATAGTACTTTTCACTGCAAGCTTGTTCTTAAATGACTTATGTTTTTTTATTTACACCTTTTTAATTAAGCCAAATTCTTTCTTAGTCTTTGTTCTACAGAAAATTTATTACAGAAGAAATATTTGGCTTTTTTAAATACCCCAGTGATTTTTCTACTGCATACACAAGTAAACTATAAACCTTATCAAAAGAGTATTCCACTCGATGCTAATGATGTACGGATCCTTTAAGAGCTCACGTTTATCCACTAGCGCTTAAAGAACTAAGGAACTTAAGCAAGGAATTAAAGTCATTTTTCAGTACATCCAATTAGAAAATTGGAAGTTCTAGAGTTGAGTTCTAAGTAAAAGCAAGTTGTTATTTTTTCAAGATTCTTGCTCGGTGAATGCGGGACACCTAGTATGTGTATCGACTTATAGCACAAAAGTAAAGTATCTGTTACATATTAAACAGTATATGGAGTTTAAGTTTTCTACAGGGAAGTTCAACAGAATTTTTGTCCCTAATCAGGAGAAAGATGTCATTAATTATTAATGATCTTTTCAAAAATCTTGGTTCGAAAACGGTACATAAACTGTTTAAGTCCTGCAACATTAGCTTTTTCTATTTTTCGAATTTTTTCCAATTATAGTGGCTAAAACTTTTATATACAATATTATAAACTCGAGAAAGATACTGCCTTCTTAATCGGAATCTTTTAAGAATGGGTTGTACTTCTTCAGCTCTGTTTCTGTTACTAATTACGCTACATGTCTTTCCAAATAAGCATTTTATTTTAAAAAAGGTAAATTTGCCCATTCGCCTACTAGTGACGTTCGTGGCCTAACGGGATTGTGCTTTATAAATTTGCGACATTGCTGCTCTTATTGATCGGGATCCTACCATTGCCATATGAATACATGTTGTCCTCTTAGAGTCTTGCGGGATCTTACGGCCATGTCACGTACCCTGAGTCAGGAACTTGGCTTCTACGCAGGTTGGAAAGTCTCCGCTCAGATAGCGCGACGACTCTGCAGCTCCACGAATTGTTAGCGCAATGACCATTGTTGCGGCTCCCTTCGATGCTGCAACACAGACAGGAGGGCCTACAGTGGTATGAAGTACGACCCTGGACATGGGAGTGGCACCACGTCATCGTTAAAGAATTTCGGGTCTGCTTAGCATCCTGGTGAACGCATTCGTTTGTGGAGGCACCGAGGAGAACGAACGTTACCAGCTTGCATTCGTCGTCGTCATATGAGCCAACAGATAACGTGCTCGTATGGTGTACCATGAGTGTTTGTGTAGAATAGAGCTGGAGGACCCGCTACGAAACTGATTGAAATAACCAATTCACTTTGGTTAACGAATGAACGGTTGATTTTAGAAAACGGAATTATAACTTTCTTAAAGTTCATGGCTGTTATTGGAAGCGTGCCAGGAACAGAGATGTGCTATTCGTTCACTAATATATTCACTTTACTGAGCGGACGAACGTTTAATTAGCGAAAAGAGAGGGAAGGTCTTTTAGAGTTTCACCGAGAGCTCTTGTTGGAAACATACCCAGAACGTTGGATTTCCATTTTAGAGGAGAAAAAAATATTCATCCCCACATGGTAAAAAGTGAATTTAATTTTTATCGTTTTCCGACATTTTGAAATTTTTTTATTCTGAAATTTCATTTTAAGTTCTGCGTAGAAAGGAGGTTTTAGGAACCTCAAAACTACGGTTGAAAGAAATCAGTTCTGGGAGTTAACATTCGATTTTTCCGATTTCATTGCTCTTTCGCTTCTTTCTGCTGTTTCCTTCTTCCTTACTGATAGCTCTTGATTTACGTCTCGTTCCCGATATTTTTCACGAAGGTTGCTGCTAGTGAGCGAAAATTCATAAGAAAGAATTGATTAAGTTCAGTGACAAAACTGTTCTGATCCGATTCCATAAAATAGCGGTTTTTGCCCATCTCTAGTACACATTCCTATTAATTCTTATGGCATAGCCGGTATGTGAACAACCGCCGTCGCATTTCTGGCATTTTAAGACCCGTGGCATACTTTCGATGCCTGCCATCTTTCAACAAGATAACGAGCGACTGCATTTTCAACGTGTTGTACTGACTCGTGTTGTACTCAGTTCAGAAGGTGTTCTAGTATTGCTCTGGCTAGCACATTCTCCAGATGTCTCACCCTTTGAGAACATTTGATCATCAGTTACCAAGAGACTGAAACGCCACCACTTGCCAGCTATTATGATTGATGAACTCTGCCACAAAGCTGAAGCCATGTGGAATGAAATACTTGTATCTGTCATCCAAGCTCAATCCGATTCGATGCTCCATCGGATTGCAGTGGTTGTTGCTGCAGGTACTCGAAACCACTTGCAAATTTAATCCCGTCACCCTTTCATTATATTGTTTACGTACAATAAATAGGATTGTGCTATTTACTTTCCTTCCTGATGTAGCAATTTTAATGACCAGCAGAGTACAAGCCAAATTTGCTTTAAAACTTTCGCTACGAAATTATGTGCTTTTACATAAAGATAGTTTTAGAGAATTTTTATGCAATAAAATAATTAAACTAATAGGATTTCGCGAGAGGAGAAATAATTGTTTATATTTTTTTTAAAACAAATAACTCTGCGAAGGTGGTTATCTATATAACTTCTAAATGTCATGAACAAAAAACTTCTATGCAACAAAGTAAAAGAAAAGAAAAAGTAAGGGAGGTGGATTCATAAGATAATTTACATAAAACATTTTAGATTGTAATGACTGAAATTAAATATCATTCACTAAAGCTAATAGTTTTGCTTAAATGAAAAAAGTCTAATTCACCACTTGAGGAAAAATTTAGATAATTTTAGGAAAAATGTTTCACTGATCAATAACGATTAGGAGAGGAAGATTTATTAATTTCATCTTCTCTGGCATGGGATTGGCCTTCCTGCGAAATTTCAAAGCTTTCTTGATTTTCTCTTTCTCATCCACGCGTCCTATAAAATCCCCTCAAGTACGGGGCCTATAAGTTTCTTAGAGTTATCTAAGCGAAAACAAATAATAAAATGAATAATGAAGTAAATAAATGTAGATGAATAGAAGTATCCCTTGATTGTCAGAACGGCCTTAGATGAAACAAGCAGTCATTTTTCAAGTTAATGCCCCAGCCGTCTTTCGTTCACGGATCCGTAAGCCGTTGTCCTTAATTCAACGACTAATCCTATAATCTTCTCGCATTTTGAACTCGCCTTAAAAGGCACTAAAACTGACAACTTTCCAGATTAAGCAGCCAAAAAATATACAGGAAAACTAAAAAAGACGGAGCGAAATCGCTGAGAATCGATCGAAGCCTAGAAGAATTAGCGATGGCGTGAAGATCTTTAATTTAGATAGGGCAGGTGAAGACGTGAATATTTTTTTCTCACTTTAACTTTTATGTCTTAATTCGTTATGAAAGCTTTATCAATGAAGCGAAATGACGGGGAGTGGAGTGGACAGCCATGAATAAGCAATGAACTATGTTCGCAAGAAAGGAGTAGGTGTAAATTCTGTAGAGTTCCAACATCAGTGGTTTAACTATTGATAATAAATTTTTCACTGACAAAAGAACTTTTAGTCAGACCTGTCCTTTTACAATCCGACTTCTTCACACGTACTACATCAACCTAAAATGTATTTTAAGACCTTCAAGTGTACATTTTAATTAGTATAAAAGCAAGGTATATACGAAAGGTA